ACATAACAACAAACAACAACAAAAATTGTTTCTCATCAAATTTGCTAAATGTTTTCAATCTGTAATACAGTTCATATGGGTTCAACATTCCACAAGTTGATTTGGTCAACATTAGAGTCCCTTAGTAGGGAGTTCGGTGGCCTAGTTGTAAGAAACTGCACTGCAATGTCAAAGGTACACAGTTCACATCCACCAGCTGCTGCATGAGAGAAGGATGAGTAATCTCCTTCTTCGAAATTTCTTGCCTCTAAAAATCCACTGAAAGGTCAGCTCTGAGTTGGTTATGACTTCACAGTACACAACAATAACACCAGTCCCTTAAGTTATCTAGCTGTTTCTGCTTCTTTGCATCCTTCTTTGCAGGCCTTCTCCTTGTCTATGCCTCAGAGGACACACATACACTATAAGGGCCAAGAAAGAGACTAATTATTCAGGGATGTGTAAAAGGGCCATTTAACTCAAGAGCACTTGAGATTTTCAGGAGGCAATCATTCTTCAGATAGGACTAGTTGATAGTTTGGAACAGTTTGGTTGCTAGAAATTCCTATTTCTTCAAAACAACATAGAAATACAGGTATTATATGAACTGTGCAGAGATATTATCAGCTAATTAAAAAAAAAAAAACCCAAAAATAACGCTTCCTCAAAAGTGAAAACAACAACATTTTCAGAGAAAAGAAAATATGTCTGTAGACCACTTTCAGCCTGTAGTCCCTTCTACAAAATCTCTATTGAGAGCAGAAATTATATCCTGTTAACAGTATCCCTTACAACATTCTTTTATTCTACCTGTCTATGGTGTTTCAACAAATCCCTACAAGAACACTGTCTGTTTTTTCTGTAGTCAGCCTTTTTTGTGTAGAACCAATCCCATTAATCCAGGGATCCATCTTTACTACTGTAATGCTTCTTTCCAAGCTAATCTCTCTGTTGATGATTTGTTTCATATCTGCTGAAGGCTCATAGCTTGCATTGGGCACTCAGCAATTATCCTGACTTGAACATTTTTTTAATTTCATCCTTTTTTGATACTACTTCAGAGAATAATTTAAAAAGATTTTTTCACCATTCTTACTGTTTTGTTTTGTTGGGTGTTTTTTTCTCCCGCCCCCCCAACAAAGTTTCTACAGTCTTTTCTTACCTTCCTTTAATACTTCAACTTCTGCATCCTCTTATGGCTATTCCTCAAATTTACTCAATAAAGTTCAGGATGTGTTTCCTATGGTTAATATTGATTTCTTGTGGCAGTTATTATGTGGGATGAAGGACTAGCTTTTCTTACTGGCAAAGCAGGGAGCTATATCTACATGGATTGGCTTCAGAAGAACCAAGAACACCTCAAGGCTAATCATTTGCAATGCAGCCACTTATTCATCTTTTATGTCTGAAATCCTCCTATCAACTTCATAACTTTTTAAAATTAAGACTTTCTACTAATACCCTTGTTATGAGCAGGCAAGAAGTAAGGAGATGTTTTGCAATGGGAAAATCTGCACTTAGGGACCTTTCCAAATTATTGAGGACTAGTGATGACAGTTTGAGGGCTAAGGTTCATCTGATTCAGGCCATGGTCTTTCTGATTACAAACTATGCAATTGAGACTTAAACAATGAATAAGGATGACAGAAAAGGAAATGAAGCCTTTGAGCTGTGGTGTTGGAAAAGAGCACTAAACATTCCGAGAATGGCCAAGAAAATGAATAGATATGGCTTGGAGAGGCTGAAGCCAAAGTGGAGACAAGAAAGATGAGGCTTTGCCTCACATACTTTGGACCTATGTTTGGACAATATTGCTAGGAGGTGCTATTCCTCGGAGAAGAACATGATGTTGGAAAGGATGGAGGGTCAGCGAAGGAGAGGAAGACCATCAACCAGGTGGATTAACAAGGTGACTGCTGCTGTGAGCTTTTATGTGTTAGGAAGTGTAAGGATGGTGCAGGACAGAACTGGTTTCAGATCTTTTCTTTGAGGGTTGCTATGAGTCATACTTGACTTAATGGCACCTCACAACAACAACGACAACAAGACTTTCTATTCTTGGATAAAATGTTTGAAATACTTTGAATATATATTAACACATTTTGGTCTTTTGTTTATATCTGTGAAGCACTAGCTCTTTTCTTAAGCACAAGTTTGAAGATAAAAGAGGGAATATAGGAACCTTGAGTGTCATGAATGCATATTTGAGGGGGAGCAAGGAGAGTGGAGTAAACTCAGAAAGAAGAAACCTATTATTTTTTAATGCCATAGATAGTTGTTATGGAAGTTCATCAAGGGAATTGATACTAACTTGCAACAATAAAGAATGCTGTGGGATGCTTACCAGGTGAATGAATCCCGCAGCAGTAAAACACAAACTGAGGATTATTGATAGCAGTTTAGAAAACTTCACTGAATTACTAGAGGAAGAAAGACAAAGAGTTGTTGGACCCTTTCACATAAATTACAGAACACTTTCATGAATATCTTGCTATTCAAAGTACAGTTCATGGAGCAGCATTAGTGGCATCGTTGGGGAGGATGTTACAAATGCAGAATCTCATGCTTCACTTAGAGTTTACTGATTATGAATCTGTGTTTTTATAAGATCCTCAGCTTGAGGGATATACACAAAACATGAGAAGCAAAATCCTGAAACATTGATTCACATTCTAACTTAAGGAGTTTGGATTTTTGCTTTGCTAACCAATATAATTAACTGTCATCAAGTTGGTTCCCACAGAGACCCCTCTCCATCAAGTATGTGAGGCTATAAATCTTTTCTGAAGAAAACTATCTTAATCCTGGGGATGATTGGTGGGTTGGACCATTAACTTTTTTGGCTATCAGCCTGAAATATTATGAACTTACTATAATATTGCTCTTAATAATGAAATTCATAAGAATAATTACAAAACCCTTAAATATATTATCACATGGTTGAAAGTAATGGTAAAAAAAGGGAATCAGTTTACAAAATGAAATTTGTATTCAGTTACAAAACCATAGTTTTTCTGTTATCCTTGTAACAGTATCCTCAATTAAAGACAATCAGAAATTCTCCCCTTTCCTAAGTCCTAGAGTTTAACTGAAATCTCAGTCATTTTCAGGCAGGGCCACCTGTCATTTAAGAACTCTCTGTCTTCCACTGCTAAGAATATGCTCCAAAGAAATGAAAACTGAGACACAAATGTGGATATGTATATCTATGTTTCTAGAAGCACAATAGCAAGAAAATGGAAATATCTCAAATGCCAATCAACACCTGATTGAGAACTTAGGGTACATTCACACAATGGACTTCTACTATGCAGCATGAAGGAATGATGATTTTGTAAAATACTATAAATCATGAGAGAGTCTAGAGAGCATTACGCTGAATGAACGAATTCTGTCTCATAAGAGAAGTACTGCATAAGACCATTATTGTGAAAATAGAAAGAGAACATATATAAATGTAAAAAAAATGTAAGACAAATAGGGGAAGGGATGGGAAAAGGGAAAGGGCGGAAATCACTAAGATAGCAAACTTTAATGGGATAGAGGACAAAAGAATAGGAAACACTCAATGGGGACTCAAATAAGGCAGGGTAATAATGGGCATAGATCAGTAATAATTAATAATACAAAATATAATATATATGAATGATTGTATGAATCAATGCAAATGAAAGATTTATAAAATATAATATACATGAATGAAACACATATATGTAAATGAATTATTGTAGGCAAATAAATAAAAAAGAACTCTCCGTGTCTTAACTTTTCTACAACACATAAACATCTAACAGTGAAAGAGAATATAGAACAAAGGTTTTAAAAAGACAGAAAACCAAACACCAGATTGGCAAATAAATATACTTATAGATTACAGCTTTGCAATTATTTTTAAAGAAGAATAAGCAAACGTTATCATTATTACAAACTGTTTACACAATGTACCTTTTAATATAATAAAATAAAGTGAATAGATACTATCTTAGGAGTTCAGAGTTTGTGTGAGGTCTACACTGAAATTAAACAGCATATGACCAAGAGGCAATGGTGATGAAGGAGGAAGTTCAAGATGTTATAAAGAAATTGAAAAAAAATAAGGCTCCAGGAATCGATGGAATACCAATTGACATATTTCAGCAAACAGTTGCTGCCCTGGGCATGTTCACCAAGTTGTGACAAAAAATCTGGAGGATAGCTATTTGACCAGATGACTAGAAGAGCTCCATATTTATTCTCATTCTATAGAAGAGTGATATGAGAGTGTAGAAATTATCAAATAATATCACACTCAAGAGAGATATTGCTGAAGATTATCCAAAAATGACATGTTAGAGAACTTCCAGAAGTACAGGCTGGGTTTATAAGAGGCCATGACAGTAGGGACATTACTACCAATGAAAGATGGATCTTCATTGGAAGCAGAGAATACTGGAGAATTTCAATCTATGTTTCATTGACTACGCAAAAACATTTGTCTCTGTGGATCACAACAAATTGTGTGTAACCTTGAGAAGAATGGGAATCCCTGAACACAGGATTGTGCTCATGTGAAATTTAAACTAGGACCTGGAGGCAGTTGTTGGAACAAAGCAAGGAAGCTCTGCATGGTTTAAAATCAAGAAAGGAGTGCCTGAAGGATGCATTCTGTCTCCTATCTTTCCAATCTATATGCGGAACAGATAATTTGGTAGGAGGAAAGTGGCATCAGAATTGGAAGGAGACTCAACAACATGCATTATGCAGATGATAAAACCTTGCTCTCCAAAACTGAGGAGGAAATGAAGAATTTTCATCAGAAATTCAAGGACTGCAGTCTTCAATATGGATTGAAGCTCAACATCAAGAAAACAAAAATTCTCACCACTGGACCAATTGGCAGCACCATAACATATGAAGAGACTTGCTTGTCAACAATTTCAACAATTTCTGTTGCTTGGGTCCACAGTCAACACTCTTGTAACTAATAGCCTAGATATGAAAAGATAGATTAGGAATGTCTGCTGTCAGAGACCTCTCCAGAGTGCTGAATTTCAAAGATGCCAATGAAGAGACTAAGGTGCTCCTGATCCAGTGCATTGTCTTTGCAATTACTTGTTATGCATCAGCTGGCTGGCCAATGAATAAGGATGATAAAAGAAAAATTTATGCCATTTAGTTGTGGTGCTGGAAAAGAGTATTGAACCTACTCGTAGACTGCAAATAGAACGAACAGGTCTGTTCTGGAGAGGATGAAACCAACTTATTCTCTAGAGGCATGGAATTTGAAGCTTTGTGTAATATACTTTGGGCATGTTGTTAGAAGGGACCAGTCTTTGGAGAAGGACATCATGCTTCAAAGGATGGAGGGATAGTGCAGGAGAGGAAGATCCTGGAGGAGATGGATTGAGACAGTGACTAGAGTAATAGGGGCAAGTTTGTTTGAGACAGTGAGATTAGCTTAGGATAGGATAAATTCAGAGCCATTGTGCATGGGTTGCTATGAGTCACAGGTGACTGGATGGCACCTAATAATGACACTGAAATTCTAATGGGAAATAGTCAAGTTTAAAGTTCAGTCAACATTTTCAGTTCACAAGTGTTCAGGTTTTTCGTTCATAGGGTCGCTATGAATTGTCTATGACTTGATGACAGTTAACAACAACAACAACAACAACAGTGTAAACTGGTAGTTCTGGTGGCCTAGTGCTAAGAAACTGCACTAAATTCCCAAATGTACATGTTTCAAATCCACCAGATAACTCTTTGAGAGAAAAATAGACAATCTCCTTCTGTGAGAATAACTGCCCCCTGAAAATCGGTGGAGGGTCAGTATGGGCTGGATCTGATCTGACAATACACAACAATAACAACAAGGGAGTAAACAAGTGAGTGAGTAGTGCTTCACAGAGAGCTGATACTTACCTGGTTTTTATGGCTTGTAGAATTTGCAAGATTTTAGGGAGTTCTAGGAGCCTCAGTGCTCTGAGGAACCTTAAACCTGCAAAGCAATTAAAAGGAGAAAGATGCAAATAGTTTGGGGAGTAATTTGAATTAGAATAAAATTATGATTCCTTCATCTTTTTTTCTTTCTAAAATGTGGAAGTATATGATATTTTATAATGAGCTTATAAACATAGGCCTTAGTTCAAATTCTGGCCCAGACACTTTGCAGTGGCTACAATGTAAGGTATAATTCATGTCCCCATCTGTAAAATGAAAATTATAATAGTACTCAACAAATAGAGTTGTGTAACATAAAAATTACAGAGAAGTTCATTTTACATATAATAAGCACAATGGACAGGTTCTTTCATTTAACTCCAATTTAAATTTGAGGGCAAATTTCCCATGAACTACCTATACTCCTACTATAGAATCTTTATGATATCTTCCTCAATGCTTATGATTGTTAAAGTTTGTGTATTTTTATAATAATGGCAACAAATAACAGGATTGGGGCTTATAGTATAGAAAATAGATAATAATAACAATATACAATTGAAGAAAACAGATAAAAGCTTCATAATGCTTTTGTAGTTCCAATACTTCCACCTTATAGGTAAAAGAATGATTTATATCTTTTAAGAACAAAGGAGACATTTCATCTCCCCCTATCAGTGTATGCAACTCAACACAAAGGTGAAGCTGAGAGTTTGGGACACATGCATCTCAGGCTGTGGATATAGCCATTGCATAAACTACTGAAAAACTATTGTAATATATATGTTAAAAAAAGAAGTTTTTGCATATAGATTGTAAAACCATATAACTACAGTGATAAAGTCTTTAAGTAGCAAGCAGATAGTCCATAAATACATTTATGAAAATGAATTGAGAGTTTAAAAAAAATTTACAACAGATTGCCACAATGCACTTACCTAGCCAATTACTCTTCAAATAATAAGAAATAAAGGTTGGTGGGATGGTAAAGATGTCTACTATTGAATTCATCTCCAACCAGAACTTGACTTTGTCATCAGCTGCCACAAACTATGAAATAGAAAAAGAAGACCCTAAATTCTGTTTCCATCATTAATTTTAAAGGTGAACAAAACTGTTAGCATTATTTAACTAGATTTCATTAATAGGCTGAAATTTTCTCTCATTTTAGCACATGAATGGACAGACAGTTACATGCAAATATATACAAAGGTACAGAGATAGAGTTAGGAAGAGTGTACTGTTAGGGTGGCTAATCAATTAACATGTACCCATTTCACTTCAGAAAAAGAACTGATGTCTTTGAGCTGTGATACTAGAGAAGAGTAATAATTATCTCATGGACTGTCAAAAGAATAAACAGGTATGTCTTGGAGAAAGTACAGCCAGAGTCTTCCTTGGAGGCAAAGATGATGAAACTTTATCTTCTCTACTTTGGACATGTAGCTAGGGTAGGCTTATTCCTTGGAATGGGACATCATGCTTGGAAAGATGAAAGGTCAGTGAAGAAGAGGAAAATGCCCAATGAGATGGATTGGCACAGTGACTTCAGCAATGTGCTCTAGCTTATCAGAGATGATGAGGATGGCACAGGATAGGGCAGCATTCAGGGTGAATATTCATAGAGTCATTATGAGTCATGCTTTTCTAGACAGCATCTAATAACAACATTTCACTTACGAGAACGTGCTCCTGAGCAGAAGGGAAGCTAGGGAGTGGCGCACAAGGGGAATGCACCTCAGACAATAACGAAGAGGCGTCTTTCAAAGGTACCCAGGAAAAACCGGCGGGAAGAGGCCCTTGGGGCAGAAACTAAAACATAATCTACACAGGAGTTCTACAGGACACGTCACCTTCCCTTGGAGACAGTACAACTAAACTTAAGAGACACTGG